CCCACCCCCCACCCCACTGACTCTGAGCCATGCTGCGGCTGCATCTGCCCGGGTTTATGAGGCCTCGGTCACAGTCAGTGTCCTCATCAGTCAGATGGACAGGAGCCACGAGTGTAGCAGCCAGGAGGAGGAGGAAAACCTGTCCTGGAGTATGTGATGGACTGAGCATATGTCCTGTTAGCACCACCCTCTGTGGTTGGTGCTAAGGCCTGGGGCAGGTGAACCCTGGCTCAGGGCGACTGGCTGGAGTTAGGAGCCAAGTTCGGGGTGAGGTGAGAGGAGGTTCCTTCTGTTAAAGGGAAATTTTCCTCCCCACTGTCGCCAAGTGCTTATTAAAGGGGGATTTGTTTGGTTTTCCCTCTATAATAATAGTGAGGTCTAGACTGGACTGTGTAAAGTGTCCTGACATGATCTTTGTTGTGATTTGGCGCTATACAAATAAAATAAATGGAACAACACCAACATGGACGTGCGGTTTTAGTAAAGGGGTTGGCCCAGGCACGGTGTGTCCACACACGTGTTAATGTTTAAAATAAAGGATCCTGGATGTCCAATCAGATTTTGTGTAGTTCCACCTGAAACGTGTGTGGACACGGCCTTACAGCAGGATCAGTGGTGTGCTGACTCAGAGCTGGAACCATGGTGTGATCCGACTCACTGTGCTGTCATTCACACACCATCATGTTTCAGGTCCATCTGTCCTTGGAGGCAGCAGCTGGCAGGAGGGCGTTCATTTTCACCTCCTCGCCACCACAGGCTGAACAGCATGACACACCCACTCTAACCGAAGCCTTTAAAATGGAATTTCAAAGGGTTATTTATAAAGGTAAACTGATATTTCTCAGCCGGCTCCACCTCCATCCCACACTAGTGGCTCATGTTTGTTTCTGGTTGTTTGAAATCTGTTTCCTATCCGTCAGTAGAGTCCAACTATGTAAAACTAAAGCCCAGCAGCCACAGAGGGGGCGGTCGCCTCCTGCTGCCCACACTACAGACAGGAGGACGAAGCTACTTAGTAACTAGGTTAATTAGTTACTTGGTCTTTTTTACTATTGTAAACTACTTTAACACTTTTAACTGAAAACCTTTTCACAGAGACTCTGCCTGGAAGAAGCAGCGATGAGTGAATCTTGTGATGTTATGAACGTGAATTTTCAGCAGAACCAACAGATTTAGCTGTTAGAGCTTTAATGACGATGTGGCTGCATTTAGACCTGAACACAGTCGGTTCACCTTCTGATGGGCTGATTGTCTTTAGCTAGAGTTTGATTTCAGTCTGTTTCTGATGCTGCTGAGTTCCTGAACTGCCACACATGCACAGATGTAAAGTGAAATATGAGCCACGTGCGCACAAGAATAACACCCAGGTCATGTGTGCGATGGTCAAATAGCCCAGCTTCCTCCCAAACCACTGGGTTACGATATGTTCCTTCCAGCTTCTCCATAAACATCCACCACAAGTGAAACGTCCTGGTTTCTCCACTGACCCCTGTCGCTGTCCTCTGTATTTACTGTTACCGGTCTGAGAGGGGCTGACGCCGAATAATGACGACAGGTGGTCCAGATCTGGTCTGAGGACACCTGGTGTGTTCACACTGCTGTGGACACACCAGGTCTGAGTCACTGCTGCTGGGATGTGGACTAAATGATAGGCTACTTTGAACTGGATTGAATTTAAAAGCCTTTTCATTACACTGCTCTCCTCCCCTCTGTGCTCCCCCTCCTACCTCACCCCTACAGAGAGAGAAAAAACCCAGACTCAGCTCATATGTGGAACTCAACTTCCCCCGTGTCTGGTCTGTCCTGACTGTGTCTCTGCTGCCTCCTGCTGAGGAAAACCAGCACAGACAGGCTGAAGTCACAGGTTGGGTTTTATCTGAAACAACATCTGAGCTGAGGCTGCACAGGCGGGGTCAAAGGTCAGGTCTAGGCTCAGTGCTGAGATTGGGGTGAGTCTGAGGACAAGGGGGTCAGATGTTTGGTCAGAGCAGGTTGACACATGAACAGCCCTCTGTGCTCACTGTTAGTCTGTGTAGCATTTGTTCTCCAAGCTTCTACTTTATTGTAACGTCCTGGGAAGTTGGGTTGCGTTGGTTACACAAATAACCCCAGCTCCAAGCCTCGCTGTTAAACTGTCTGCTTACTGAATCTAAATCCACACTCAGAACATCTACATGCACGTCGTGTTACATTAGGAAGCTGGCTGCTGACTGGAACCAGCAGCTGAGAAGCTCCAGGGGCTCAGGTTTTCTGTCACTGCAACCTGAACATCTTTGTCGGGCTGCTGGTCAAACCAAACCAGACGTGTGAAGGCGTCGCCTCTGACTCAGTCTGTTGTTAGTGTGCACACAGCATCTTGTTTATTTCATAGATGACCATCAGACTGTCACATGACTTCCTGTTTTATTTGTACCCCACAGACTTGTGGTTTCCAAGTCCTCAGACACAGAACAGCTTCACATCCTCTGTGATGGAGGGCGAGCACCAACGTGCGCTCACTGTGTCACAGTTTGGACTTTGGTTTCTGCTGACTGAGCAGAGCAGTGACCGCCGTGGGACGACCCCAGAGCCGCAGCCGGCTGACTCCTCCATCCGGGGCGATGATGAGACGGACGTGACTGACTGGTGCGGCCAGAGCCAGCTCCGACTCTCTGTAGTGATGTCGGTGGTGAGGGCGGAGCTGGGGCACAGAGAGGAAGGCAGCAGTGAGGAACCTGTTCATGTAGAGAGGGAAAGATATTCAGTGACGGTATAAACCTACTTTCTGAGGGGGGAGAAGAACCTGCCACTTCCCCAAGGTCCACTTTGTCCTGATGCACTGAGCTTCCTCCACGGGGGTCAGAGTACACGCCTCAATCCTGCAGGAGTCCGGGAAGTTACCTGGAGGGAAAAACACCAGGTATGACTATGTTTCTACTTCATTTAAATAAGACAGTGTGTCGAGGTGTGTGTCGACCTTTGAAGTGGTTGGTGTCGACCTCAACACCGCTGATCACGCCAGGATGACCAAGACGAAACACCGCCCACTCCCAGCCAGGCACCTGCAGGATCCCCCACTGGTCCACCTGCAAGACAAGCAGCATTAGACACGGTAACAACGTCCCAACATGGAAACGGTGCTGTTCAAGGTAACAGTGAGGAGAGTTTGGCAAAGGAGGAAGAGTTTAAAGTGAAGAGACTTTTGAGTAGTGGGCGCATATTGGACGTGAGGTCACTTTTCGAAAGGGTCATATGAAACACCTGACTGTCAGACTTGCATTTACAGGTGTAGTCAGGTTATGTTTAGTGTGTATGTATGTGTGTGTGTGTGTGTGTGTGTGTGCATTCAGACCTTCAGCTCTTTGGGTCTGTCCAGTCTGCGGGCTGTTTCCCATCCGTCGGCCATGTTGGCACCTCGACCAAGACCTACAAACACAGTTACCAGTCCACCCACAGTTAGCTAGAATAGGAGTGAGTGTGTTTTTTTTTTTTTTTTTATGTGCCAGCTCTTCTACAGTTTTGTTGAGACTTCAGAGACCCCGAACTCTCAGGTAGGTAATAAATAACATTCTCTATGACAACAACAATAGGGATAAAAAGCTAATGCACAAACCAATCATGTTGCGTGGATGCCCAAAGTGGGCGTCGCTGTAGCCGACACACACTCCCCCATTGGTCAGTGCCACCAGGTCGATGTCCTGGTTGGTGGAGACAGACGACCAGTCTCTCTGCCCGACACCGTACACTCGCAGTCTGGCTATCCCTCCATCTGATGACACACATGTATTGTACAACAATATATGCACTATGATGGTGGTTATTTGACTCTGTGTGTGTGTGTGTGTGTGTGTGTGCAAACCTGGGAACATGTTGAGGCGCAAGTGTGAGACTCTGTGCCTTAAGTTCACAGCAAAGTAGTTATGGCAGCAGTTGGAGTATCCAGGCTTCAGCTCAGACACACACACAAGCTCTGGCCACATCTCCGAGCCCAGCTGTCAATCAAACCACAAATCACATTTATCAAAGATCCCCCCAGACTACAGGTTGTCATGGTGATCGCAGTAGTGTCAGTGTTACCTTGTCAACAGCAGCTATCTGACTGCTGGAGGCGGCCATGCCGGTTCGGTCTCCCTCCAGGGTGAAGGTGGGCGGGGGCTCTGGTAGGGAACAGGAGCTGTTTTAATGGCCGTATGCTGAGTTTGTGTCATGTCAGGCTTCAGAGGTACAAGCTGCTTCGGTGAAAAGAGACCTAGTGTGTGAACTGCTTGACAGAGTTTCAGGTGGAGTTCAGGGAGTAAAGTGTGAGAGTCCTGACTCGTACCCAGACAGGCGGCCTGGATGGAGACGTAGGGCGAGTGGTTTCCAGTGAAGAAGGACGTGTCAACATCGAAGCCGTAGATCAGCCCCGGTACTCCCAGCTGGATGATGCACCAGTCATGGCCTTCAGCAGAAAGAACAGAAACCCTCAGCAGATATATACATGAGCACAAAGACTGAAGACACAGCCAGTTTGCTGTGTTTGATTTTGGTGCCTTTTAGTTCAAGAAGCTTCATCCTCTTAGTGATGAGATGCTTCTGTGTACACTCTTTTAGCAGGTGGAGCCTGAAGGATGAGTCGGTCAATATTCATTTAAATGCAGACGCGCCTGATCAGTGACAGTTCATGTCTGAGGTCATTTTGAAACAGGGTCAGCATTACAGTTTGTCCACCAGAGGGCGCTGTCAGATTCGTCTTTATCTGTCAAGTTCCTCTGAGTCACTACTCTTTAAACAACAAAGGAACCATGAACAGAAATGTTTGTTGTGTGTTCAGTGCTGATAGTTCAGTTGTTATGGCTGCTTTGCACAGTTCACTTATAGGTACTGTAGAGTATATTTTAATTGCACCCCTCTATGTTTTCTCAATCATTATATAATTCAGAAAGTCCTTTACTGGTTTTCCTGTTGGCAAGTCTCGTCTCTGTGCTGAAGTAAAGTTAATTACGTCTTATGTCTCCTTACATTTCCTCAACTGATTTACTGAACTCTCAAACACTGATATCAGTCCAGGTTTTAAAAGTCCTGCATCCACTAGGCTAAAGTAGAAAGTAGTGTTGTTGGAGGTGTTTGTGAAACAGAGCTAATTTTAAATATGTACCTTCAGTATAAACTATAACGGGCTACAGCTTTGGTCATAATTCACCAGGAGAGTTTGTCAGAAGTCCAGACACTAACCAGGTTTTCTCTTTCTCCTCGTCTCCCATCCATCCATCCACTTTCCAAACTCAGTGAAGGCAGAGGCGATGAACTGCGGCGGCTCCCGCTGTATGAACAACATAAGTCATCACATGTCAGGACGCACAAAGAGGGCAGACTGTTGGTGTCGTCCAGTTTGTTTACAGCAGAAGTCTGGGCGTGTCGTGTGTGTGTGTGTTTCACCTGGGTTGGTGTGTTTTAGTTATAGCTGTGTGATGTGCTTAAACCTGATCTACCCGATTTCAAGTCTGGTTTAATAAGCTCATGTATTTGTGAGGTGTTTGTTAAAGGTTTCCATCTTCAGTAGGACCCAGGGGGCTTTGGACTGAGTGCTACAGACACACTGGAGGAGTCACGGTGTTGAGAGATGGACTAACAAGATGAAGTTTGTTGATTAGACAAACACAGAGCAACAGTCGACTGATCATTAAAGTAGCATCCTTCTGTAAATCACTAGGACTGGACTTTGGTTTCAGTGGTATTCACAGTAGGTGCTGCTGATTAAACAATAACGTTGTGCTACCCTGAACCCGACAGCGTGGATCGGAGGTGCTGTACCTTCAGCAGGTTGGCAGCAGGAGCAAACCATTCGTCGGTGGCAAAGATGACCTGAAAGAACAGGAGCAGATGCTTTGTTAGTGACACAGAATGTAAAACATGACATTTCAAAGCAAACCAACAAAGGTTTCAGCTGCAAAAACTGTTTATTATGAACTGGATATATAGAAAATAAAGCATATTGATTTGAAACTGGCAAAAATATTTAAAGACAGTTTGACATTTTGGGACACAGCTGTACTCGCTGTCTGTTCAAATTGATCCCACTCTGTGTCCCTGTCTGGTTAGCTTAGCTTAGCATAAAGAGTGGAAACAGAGGGAAACTGCTAGCCTGACTCTGTGCATGGTAGTGGTGAAGTGTTCCAATCCTCTACATGGTAAAACTACCACAGTGTATAAATACTCCATAACAAATAAGAATATTGCATGGAGAGTGTTACTTCGAGTTCCCCTGTGACAGTTACACATTATGGGATAATAATTACCTTACTTGTTCCATGTGTCCATTCACTGGACAAAACCTGGTGTTGTGTTGTTACAGGCTGTTTGTTGTTTGGTGAAGGCTAACATGTTAGCCTCAGCTACATTATGTCAGAGGTTATGTTTACTGCTTGTAAACATACATCCAGGTTAATACAGGTTTAAAGCAGCACAGCTGGTGTAAAATGGAGGCTGTTGTATGGAAACACACAGTAAAGAAGAGACTCACCTTCCCACCGACCGTCTCACAGGCCAGGTCGTTAAACGACAGGAAGTCGGGCTCTGCTGCAGCCTCCGCTCCCGTTCGCCTCTCTGCCATTTTCCGTTTGTACGATTTCTACTCACACATAAACAGCTGAAGCAGCTGCGTGTTGTGCTGACGCCTGAACAACCGGTCTGGTTTTATCCTGCAGGATAAAGTTCGCATGCTCAGTTACGGGCAGAAGGAAGTTATTGGCTGCTGCGCGCACGAAGCCTGCGCGGCTGTGTTCGTACTGTGACACCTGCTCGTCCACTCATGACAAACACAGACTCGTGTCCCTCATTTACCAGGTTAATAAGCCGCTACGTTACCGGAGTGTGTGGTGAAACAGCAGATTTGAAGCCACAACCCAAACCCAGCGGAGCCGCGG